TGAAAAAAAAGTTGGTTTGTCGGTTGTAAATGCTATATGCTCTTTTAAATGGTGCATTCCCCAGCCTTAGGCTACACACCCTCCGCATGCATGTTGTTAGGCTACAGGCTACGGAGTCCTGATGACATGCAGACAATTTTAAGCTAGACATGCAGACAAATTAAAACAATTAGAGTTAGCCTACTAGAGAAATTTTATGTTGGCTCGGGATCTGAGCGGTAATGGTTTACCGCCGAGCAAGCTCTCAACCATGGTGCAGAATGCTTAGCTGAGCGTTCACTGTTACATAACTGCCCCTTGCTGGCCATGTATTTCTTGTGTTAGACCATGTTCTGCTGTGCCGCAGTTTACTGCAGTAACGTGCAAAACTACTTTAGATCACTCATGCATTTTCATTAGCCATATCTGTACTTTGCCATACTGTTTTATCATCAAAACTGGTTTAGCACAAAAGTTTGTAACATACAAAAACGTAAAAAACTAAATCTTATGACATGTTATGCCTTCGTGCTTTGTTTTCTTTGTTTGCTCTTTACTACACAGCGCTAAAGTCCAGCATCTTCACATTGGCTTTGCAGTTGTCTAGTGCGGTTGAATGACATTTATCCTGGGAGCACTGTACAAATATGGCGGCACTATTGACATATGCTCAGGGTCTGTATGCATTATCTAGTGTATATATCTATTGTGTAATACAATATGTACTATAAAGCAAGTCTTGATGTAACGAAAATGTAAACTCTTTGGAATATTACATCATGATTGGTCAATGCCATTCAACTGCGGTCAAAAGCAATGTTAAATAACAGACATTCTCTGTGCTTCTCTTTTATATTGATCAGTTGCATTACAAGTTAATTTAATGGTTAACTGTAAAGGATTATAAGACAATAAACACGATTTAAAAAGGGTTTAATGTCAAATTTCTATCTCATGCCTTATAATTAGTGTATGTTTGGCAAAAATTGGTAGGTGAAATGTTCCATCGTCTTAGCTACTGTACACTCTTTTGAACTTTAAATTCAGTGAGCTAATAAAATATTTACACAATAAAATCAATATCCCGTGTCCAGTTATTTACTTATGTAGGAAGTAGACCTGTAAAAAGCAAGGAATTACTGTATACAGCCTATTGTTATCACAAAATAAAACCCTTGCAGGGTGATACAATACAAGTGACCTCCGTTTTTGGAGTCCTAATTATTCTATCAGAGTTTGTACATACTGTATGACTTATCATATTTACACACGGAATTATCCACATACATTATATTGTGCTGATTTGTTTTTAATTTGCTAAGTATGACTACAATGTAAAAAAAGATTACTTAGTTATGACAACTTGTGTTTTAGTTAATTGTAACTTATTTAACTAAAGTTAACCATGTTCTAACTTAATTACTAAGTTACACAAGCTGTTTTAATTCAGTTTCACATAACGTTAGTTCAAATGACTCATAAGGTTAATTTGATTCACTTCAAAAACTTAAGGGAATCAGTATTTTGTTACAGTGTACAAGGCATGATGATATCTGGATATTATAAACACTAACATCATGATATTCTCTAAATATGCTTTGAAAATGTAATAACAAGCTACTGTAGTTATCCAAAAATGCTGACTGGATGCATTACAATCTGGCTGGTTTGGTTTGACTATAATCAAATATTTGATCTGAATAAGTGTAAAAGCTGCCTCCTGAACCTGCTGTGCACCAAACAAGCAGACAAATAACACTGAAAAGCTGTGAGCCCCTGGTAGTAAAATATATATCTTTTTTCATCTCTTAAATGAATTTATAGGCCGTTTGTATAACAAATGGGAGCATGGATGCTAAGTGAACCATGAATCTCTTTTTATTTATGTTGGAATAAACTGAACAAAGAGAATTGATCTCCAAGTGGGAACACACCCATAAATAAATTAAAGGAATAGTTTATACCAAAAAAAAAAAAAAGAAAAATTCCCCATAATATACTCACCCTCAAGCCATCCACGGTGTATACAACTTTCCACTTTCAGATGAACCCTGTTGGAGTAGTTTAAAACTTTATGCTATATAATGGTGTTGGGTATAATGTCCCTTTTATGAAGCTTCCAAAAACATGTCTTAGGAAGCATATCGATGTACTTCCCAAACAAAATGATAAAATCAACATCTTCTTGGCTGACCTTTGACTTGTTGTATGACACATGACAATGATAATGATATATGCATACCAGTTCAAACAAATACTGCTGTGCAAAAAAAGCCAAGCTCTTGTTCTCTTACAGTGAAATTCTCTGACTTTTTAACTTCTCATTTACCACTTTCGATTAGCTACCGGCATTTAGTTATCCTCGTTTGTCTACTCTCACCATGGCTTCCACTACGAATGGATCATGCATGATATGGTATGTTGAGTTAGATGTTAGAGGTCAGCCAAGAAGTTGTTGAGAGCATGAATTTAGCTGTCATGAGTCAGTCAGTAAGTTTACGTAGACATGAATACTACAATTTAAATACGATTAAGACAATACTCTGATTAGGAGTCTACGCGGAAAACAACGATTTTTGATTACCTTAATTTGACAAAAGTCATAATCAAACTAAACAGAAATCAAACTAAAACATGTGGAGTATTCCTATTTTAGTCACACTATTGAAGTGCATTACAAACATGTAAACACTGCAATAATACTATTACTATTTTGTAGTAGTTTTCACTACATTTTGCGACAGGATGCACACACGGCACTTGTTAGGCATTTAACAACAACAAATAAGTGCTTGGTGTGAGCGGAAAGCGATGACTGTGCTGAGAGTTCTCCCACCAGTCCCAACCTAGTACTCTCATCCAGTATCTCCGAGTTTGTCGTGGGGGCATAAATGAAAAGTTAGTAAATAAATAGTCAGAGGTGACTTGTTGCTTGGGAATTTGTATCTATCATTGTCTGTTTGCGCAGATGGTGTGAGAAATTAACTGCAGTTGAATTTGTTTCAAAATAAGTAAAAACAAAAAACAAAAAAAAACATGCAAAATCGAATGGTGGTTGAATAGTGGTCATTGGTCATTGAATGGTGATGTAACAACATTAATTTAACTACGTGCTAAAACATATAAAACAGGGACATTCAAAACGCAACTTATGTAAATACAAATCATATTATTGTCTAATTCAGGTTAAGGCAAATAATTAGATTATTGATGTCCATGTAAACATAGTTGTTTATGTAAGTTTATAGATTAAAAATGTGAAATATTTTTGTTGCAAAATTACCCTGATCTGCTTCATAACACATTAAACCACTAATGGTGTACGCTCTCAGAAATAAAGGTACGCAAGCTGTCACTGGGGTGGTACCATTTCAAAAGGTAAAAATTTGTACCTTAAAGGTCCATATTATCACCTCAAGAGTACTAATATATATTTTTGAGTTACCAATATGGACCCGTTAAGTACAAATGTATACCTTTTAAAAAGGTACCACCCCAGTGACAGCTCGCGTACCTTTATTTCTAAGAGTGTATGGGTTCATTTTATTATGGATTTATGCCCATTTGGAAGCCTAAAATAAATGTCAACACTGTTATAAAACATCGAAGAGTCAGGATAAATTGTACAAGTACTCTGGCTGTGTTTTTCTGAAAGAAGAAAGTCATATACATTATTATGGGGTAATTATGGGGTAATTTTGTGTTTTTAGGGGGGTGCACCTAATCTTTTTTTAACCTTTTTTAAAGTTAAGATTAGTATTATTCCTTTAAGTTCAAAGTAATGCTTCAAAAAGCACATACAGTATGCTGTATTATTAATCCATTACAGAAAAAAAATATATAAAAAAACATCAGATGCACATATAATGGGGTGTTCACAGTTCTAAAATCTGAAGAGGATTTTAGGAGTTTATAACAGTGACTTAAAACTTATTTTTTATTTTAAAAAGTTTTTTTCATTATTTGCACATTGCGGAACCAAGTTAAAGATTCTGATAGTTTTATCCAAGGTTACACAATATTGTGATTGTGATACTACTCTAAAATATGTCCTTTTAAAATGTGTGGGTATTTTTTTTTTCAGATTGAACACAATGTACTGTATTTTATTTAAAAAAAACATTTAAAATATTTTGGAATGATAAACATGTCAGGCTATAATTAAAATAAATCCTTGACTTTGGTTGTTTTTTATTAGTTTCAAAAACACAGTTTTCTTTAAAACTTGAAAAGGCATCTTTGGATTTATTTCTTTTCTTTGGATATAAAGTAAACAACTGCACTGTTCAGGTCTTCAGGGATGTTGGTTTAGAACCTGTTTTTTTTTTATTTATGACTACGTAAATATAATACTTGTTAAGAAAGAAGACTTCCATATACTGTACAGTTAAAGTTAGAATTATTAGCCCCCCCTTTGCATTTTTTTTTCTTTTTTAAATATTTCCCAAATGATGTTTGACAGAGTAAGGAAATTTTCACAGTATGTCTAATAATATTTTTTCTTCTGGAGAAAGTCTTATTTGTTTTATTTCACCTAGAATAAAAGCAGTTTTAAATTTTTTAAAAACCATTTTAAGGTCAGAATTATTAGCCTCCTTTTTTTTCCGACTGTCTGAAGAACAAACTATCGTTATACAATAACTTGCCTAATTACCCTAATCTGCCTAGTTAACCTAATTAACCTAGTTAAACCTTTTAATGTCACTTAAAGCTGAATAGAAATGTCTTGAAAATTATGTAGTAAAATATTATTTACTGTCATCATGGCAAAGATAAAATAAATCAGTTATTAGGAATGAGTTATTAAAACTATTATGGGGAGGGGGGGGGTACCTTAGAAATGGTATAACAGAATATTTCTACAAAACTTTCACCAAAAAGTTACCAAACTTTTCCAAACTGAGATAAACCTTGAAACTGGTTATCGTCCCATGCCAAGAATCAAGTGTTTTATTATAATTATTTTGTATTTCTTTTTTTACCAATCTGAAAACACATCTCCTCTATGTCTCCCTTTACAGGTAATTGGCATAACTGTCCGTTAGCTCAACAGCGATGGATCTGAAGGACAGACGGCGCTCTTTAACACGGGGTACAAGTGGAAAGGAGATGCACTACGCCACATCCTCTTTGGACAGTGAAAACTGCCATATTGTGTCTCAGAAGTCATATAGTTCCAGCAAGACTCTGAAGGCCTACCAGCAGGATGGACGCCTGCGTTATGGAGCATGTGTGGCAGAGCTAGTGCACCAGGAGACGGAGGAGTATGTCAGACAAGGTGAGATTCATACAAGAATGGAGGAAATTGTCATGTATTTGGCAGCTATTCTGCAAATGCTCTTGGTCACAGGAGTAAGATTATGTTCACTCAAACAAACCCAGAAGTCACTTCTCAGACTAATGTATGAGAGCAACATTTTACAGAGGGCCGCATTAGCATGATTTGCCTGTGCTAGGTTTTAATAATGATTTTATGGTAAAATAATGTATTTTATTGATAATAATATTATTATACTACAGTTGAAGTCAGACTTCTTAGCCCACTATTGAATTTTTAAGAATTTTAAAAATATTTTCCAAATGATATTCAATAGAGTAAGGAAATTTTCACAGTATGTCAGATAATATTTTTTTCTTCTGGAGAAAGTCTTATTTGTTTTATTTTAGCTAGAATAAAAGCAGTTTTTAATTTTTGTAAAAACCATTTTAAGGACGTTTTTATTAGCCTCTTTAAGCTATACTTTTTTTATAGTCTACAGAACAATTCATCGGTATACAATAACTAGCCTAATTACCCTAACCTGCCTAGTTAACCTAATTAACCTAGTTAAGCCTTTAAGTGTCACTTTAAGCTATATAGAAGTGTCTTGAAAAATATCTAGTGAAATATTATTTACTGTCATCATGGCAAAGATAAAATAATTCAGTTATTAGAAATGAGTTATTAAAAGTATTATAATTAGAAATGTGCTGAAAAAAAAAAACTGTCCGTTAAACAGAAATTGGGGAAAAAATAAACAGAGGGGCTAATAATTCAGGGGGGTTAATAATTCTGACTTCAACTGTATGTCTTTGTGTTGTGTCGTATTATTAAATCATTCAAATCATTGTTTGTGCTAACAAGTACGGTTTTCTATTCACAATTTATTTATATATTTTTATCTATAGAATTAAAAAAAAAAAAAAAACTTTGCACATTTGACAGAAAAGCCCTAAAATTGTGTTGAGATACAGATCAAATGAGATTTTTATTAACACAATATTGCATAAAAACTTTAGCCTATACTATGTGGAAACGATTTTTAAATGTATTTCGAGTAGACTACTCTAATCATTGTTCTTTAATGCTGTTAGATTGAATTACCAACAGCTTCATTGATTATGAATTTAAAGTATTTGTTTGCACTTTTTAAATACTATACTAGACTGTATAAACAAATGTATTACATCTGTGTAAATGGCTTAAACATCACTAAGTGCTTTTCCATTATAACCATCTTTTTTAATTTTAAAATAAAAATGTTTGTTCGCGGGTTATTTTTACTTTATCTTGAAACAATTCCCATTAAAAATCTTTAGCTTAACAATCTTTAAAAGACAAGTAGTGGTTTGGTCTATGGGGATTGCATCATGATGCCTCCCCCTTTCATTTTTGTCATTAATAAAACTTGTATTAACGCTGCAGGAATGGTTTATCAACTGGTTTGTTTGCGGCATCTTTCAATGCTAGGTGGCCATTAACAGTTTTCTCAGAGGATGACAAACGAACAAACCATTGCTGCAGCTCTGACTAATTTTATTTATGGGGAAAATGAAAAAGCACCGCAGTGTTTGGGTGCTCTGTGTTTGTCTGAGGTAATTATTCCACCATTATAACTGAAACATGTTTATATTACTTACAAAGTATGAAGCTGGTTGGTTAGTTCTAGTCACATTACTCATAGTGCACTTGTGACCTTCTGAAAAGTTGGGATGTTTTTAACCTGGTGTGCTTGGACAGTGTCACTCCCTGTTTGCACGAGCAAGTTGTACACCAGGGCTATTCAATTAGTTTGTCATGGGGGCCAGTTCATGAAAAGCATCCCAAATGAGGGGCTGGAGAGATATGACTTGCAATATAAGTGATGACACAACAGCAATATAATATTTTATAATATTATATTGTATTATATTTATAATATATGTTGCATTTTAAAACTACATAACATCACAGCTTTGTATGGCTTTTTTTACAAACGTATTTAAATGTTCTATTTTGAAGTACAACAAACTCACTGTATTGCTCAAGTAGGCTTCTTCTATATTCAAACACATTCATATGTAATGTTTTAAACTGCATAATAATTAGGGATCCAACGATTATAGATTTTGGTTGTACGACTATAGTCTAAAGAATAATCATGGTTTCACAGTTATCATGATGTTTTCGCATATAATTACAAGAAAATTGCTTATATTTTAAAGTTTTGTTTATTGCTGCTCAGTAACCAAATAAAGCACAAAATATTAATAAAAAAAGCAAACAATAGTCCTTTTCTCTCTTTGGACTTTAAGTGATTTAAGTGATATTTTTACAATGAAAATAAATGACAGAACAATGAATAAAAAAAATAAAAATAAATAAATAACTAGTATTTGTCTAATGGTTATTTAAGCTATATAAAAGCTAAGAATTTAAATGAACTGTTGTTATTATCTGTGTTCATACATAAATAATAATTTTAATAATTTTGTAATAATTTGTCTATTGTATCTTTTGTTTACATTTCACTGAAAGCCACGCACAACTCTCACCACTACAGAGTGAGATCATTTCTACTGTATGAGCCTGTATGGCGCATGTGCGTTGGTTCGCTCTACGAGCCGTATGTGCACCCCTCTCAATATGCGATCGACACTTTTGGAAATAATGAACTTACGTGTGGAAAAGACGCAATAGGTGAACGGCCTGCTGCTATAGTTAATCCAGTGTGTGTGCGTATTAGTCTCAGTATAAGCTTGAAACTTTAAACTCGCACACAGTTGGCATAACTTTGTTTATTTGCAGCAGTTTTGTTCTGTGCAACAGAGGCGTTGAGAAGCCTTTACGATTAATTAACCAAAATGAATTAAAGCACGGTTAATAGTGCAATCGGCTAATCATTGCATCACTATTAACAATATAATTTCTGTACAAAATGCCTTTTCTACAAACATATACTTGATTCACGCTCTGCACAGCCTTCAACTGCAGCTCGTGCTGTATTTAACAGACGCACGTCACTTCATAACTATAGTGACCATTTTTCGACTGAACTAAATTTACTTTTGATGTCTTGGTCACACTATTTGGAGGGCCGGAATATTGGAAATAATGAATTTGCATGTGCAAAAGATGTGAATAGCCCCTTAAATGCATGCAAAACATGCATATATTTATATGAAATGTGATATTTTTAATGCATAAAAGGGGCTTTTTTTTCCTCTGGGTTTTTACCTTTAATGGAAAGCACAGTAGAGAGTATCAACAGGTAAGCGTGGGGAGCAAAGAGAGGGGAAGGATTGCCAAAAGACCTCGAGGCGTGAATCGACGATGACATAAAAGGGGCTCTTTAAACATATTTTTATTTTTTTACATTGGCTGCGTTAAATATGTTGCTTTTACTAAGTCGCATCACATTTAAAATAATTATTTATTAATTATTAATTCAAATGAATTATTACTAGCTGTTCTAAATGTTTAAATATAAATATTCTAGCTCTTCCCAGATTTGAAATCGCAGTAAATGGCACCTGAGCTTTAAAGCTCCAAAAAGCAAAAAAACAAAAAGCACATCCATATTACAATTCTAAAATGTAAATTAAAAAAAGAAAGAAGAAATTCAGACTCAGTAATTAATAGATTATATTGCTGTATGGGTGACTTTTATTTGTATTGAACATGCTGATTTTATTTTATTTTTCCCTTTTAACTTCTTTTCACATTTGTATTTTCACTTTTATCCAATATAACATATTTTAAAGCAAATAATGGACTGTCTCACAAATGTACACTTTTTTAAGTGCTACAGTGTTGGCTACAGCAGTCTTTAGGTCAGAGTTTTCTCATTAGTTGGAGCTTTAAGACAAATGCCATCATGGATGAGTGTTAACCCACATAATCCCCCTGTAATAAAAACAGAGGTGATGATTATATTGTAAGTTTTCATTTTCAGCTGTTGAAACTTTTCATCTGCACTGAGTCAAAGTTTTATTACAAATATTTGTTAAATGTTATTGTTCATCTTATCCAACACTGACCCAGTAAACACAAACCAGATAATAATAAAAAACATGATTCCTATAATAGCTCAACACAATTTACTGATTAAATTAATTTTATAATTAAATAAAATAATCAAAATATTGTTTCTCATGCAGAACCATCTGCATTTGTGTATGATTTAATTGTTATTATCCAATTATATGCCAATCCATTTTGACTCTTTGCAAGGCTGTTTAAATCAGCATTTGATTTTGGTTTATATCAGGAGTCATGTCAATATCATTGAATGCTTTAAGTTTGTTTTGTTGCCTTCATTTTGAAAACAAAACATTTTACAGACAATTATGTTTAACAGAAGCTGTATAAAGCCATAGCAGATTAATTGAAAAAACAAAACAAAACAAAAAACATTTTATTATTTATTTATTAGTTTGATTGCTTATTTGCTTGTTTCTTTTTATTTATTATTATTCTTTTTTTTTTTTTTTGCTCAAGGATAGTCGTTACCCCCTTCCACCAGTCAAGCATGCTTTGTTTTGCCAGAATTTATCTTGCTATGAAGTGTTAACCAGTTCTAATTACTGTTCAACCTACTGACCTTCCTCAATTGCTTTGCAGAAAATCGATGGGAAAAATGAAAGGCTTTGAAAACTTTGTGCCATGTTGAAAGCTGTCCTTACAAACACACCTTAAGCCACGTTTGTCAATATATCAGATAAAGAGATAATAGAGGTGAACTGCAGTATTGAAGAAAACCTTCAGCCTTTCAATATCTGCTCTCACTGTCCTATTTCTCCCATTTTAAGTTTCATCTAGTTGAAATAGTGTGAATGGGTCATTGATTTTTCTTTTCTTTTCCTTTTTTTTACATTTCAAGCAGCTGCAAAACCTTAGATGCATCTTTTTTTGCAATCAACATTACAAGATGCATCTCACAAAAGTTTCAAGGACACATTAAATTGACCAGAGGGGACAACGAAGGCATTTATAATGTCTTAATAATTGACTCTTTTAAACTCTCCATTACAGAGAAT